TAGACTGATAGACACACAGCTACACACACACACACACACACACACACTCACACACACTCTCTCTCTCTCTCTCTCTCTACACAAATAGGTATAAACACACACGCCCTCTGTGCCCCCACATTTTCTCTCACTCTGGTTTTTCATCGCTCGTCTTCTTGTCTCTGTCTTGTAAACTCACACTGCATGCAAACAGCAGCTCACACACACACACACACACACACACACACGTTAATATGGAAGCTGTGTGTCTGTGCAGGGAGATGCCTGATGTAAAATGAAGCACAGGGCAAATGGCCTGCTGAGAGTGTGTGTGTGTGTGTGTGTATTTTCCTTTCTCTGTCGTTTCACTGAAGCTACTTTCTGTCCTTTTAAGGCAGTTAGTGAGTGGCCTCTCTCTCCCAGTCTTTCCTCCTTTCTGAATCTCTTGCTTTCCTTCCATGATATCGCTCTCCTCTCTCTTCTCATTTCTCCCCTCCAATCCTTCCTTCCCTCCCTCTTTCTGCAGCTTTGTTTTTCCATTTCGTCTCTCTCCTATCTCCTCCTCAGCACCGTGGCAAGAACCCATCCATATAAGTCATTTTACCCAGTATTGAGCCTGAAAATCTAATTTTTCTTCAACCAAGTGGAGAAATCTGTCAACGGGTAAGATAATCCCACTTGTTTCCAATGCAAATCAATTTACGTCAAGAATCCTTCTGCACTCAAGTGTCGTACTCGAATCAAGTATGAGAAGCGTTTCATGACAAGGCTTTTATTTCGAAGACATTAATGACAAAAAAAAGTTGAAGCTGCACAAGAAGCGAAGGGAAGTTATCTCATCTCTACAGACAGATTTATTCACCATTTTTTTCCAGAAAGATACTGAATATTAGATACTTTTTGGAAATGTATTTTTTTTTTGCTCCTTCCATGTGTGTGCAGCTGTCCCAGTTTGCTCTGTCTGGCGTGTCCTTACCACAAGTGTGTTCTGGCCAAAGTGCAGCAGGGCCACTCTGCCAACGTTGGCTCACACTGGAGCATTTCCCCAGAATGTATCGTCATCCTATCGATTGTTTCCCCCCCCGACATCCTCTGTCCTTACATCCCAACACAACGCCAGTGATGACTGCATGGAGGGATGAGAGGAAGGAGGATGGCTGTAGGGGGTGGGGGTGGGGGGGGTGGGGGGGGCGTGATAGCGGCATGAGAAAGCTGCATTTGAAATATCTCCACACCCCACCGCTACCCAGCGCCATTCTCCTCAAGAGCGGCTGGAATCTGAGCTCTTTGTGAAAACGCCATAAGAGCATTACGAGTTCATACGATGAGCCGCAGCATACAAAGCAAAGAAGGGGAGGGGAGGGATAAAAGGCAAACAGAAAAAGGAGGAAGAGAAGGGAAAGGAGAGATAGATATGGGATGAAAGGTGGAATAGGTGGTACACAGAGGTGAGAAAATGTAGATTTTTTTAATCCCATATATTTTTTCCTCTCTCTTAATACAATTTCCATAATCCCCAAGTGATAGAATGCAGTACTTCTCCTTTGAGGGATTAAAAAAAAGATATTTTCTCAGCTTGCAACAATTGGCATTGTTCAGTGAAGACAGTCGTGTTTGGCTGCAGAGGAGGGCCGAGATAAAGAGTGCAAATGCAGTTGAGCGCTAGGATTAGACTGATGTATTGTTTTACTGGGGGTCGATCTCTTTACAAAATCTGAAAGCATCCACCTCTGATTTAATACAAAATCCTCCCGGGTAGTTGTAACGGAATACATTTTTGCAATTACTGGTTTTGTATCGGATGTCTGACCAGATAAATCGTTCCAGGGCCAACTTGGAGGATTCCTCCAACAGCTGTCAGTCCTTTAAATCCGTCTTAAGGTCTGGCTTCAGTGGATTTGGTCGAGGCAAGGAAAGTAAATATGCGTTCATGTTTTGTGTCAGGTTCAACTTTGGTGAGCTTTGACATGCAAATTTGGATGTTCACCAATAGTATTGAACTTTGAGAGAGCTGAAGATGGAAGCTCTGTACGCCAGCTGCTGTGTTGCTCTGTGTACTTTTATTTACAACCCCTCTGTCTGACTATAAACTGCTCCAAAAAGGAGGAATAGTTTGAGACAGTTAATCAGACTGTAAGGAAAGAGAAGTCAGTGGTACAAATACATTAAACAAACTGTGTGAACTTGTTGTCCCGTTACCAAACAAGCCTACAAGCTTGTAACGGACAGCTAGTGAGCCCAGCAATGGCCCCAACGGTACGAAGAAAATAGAACGAAGCTTAGAGTCCTACGAGTGCTACCTTATTCCCGGATAGCTGGTGTTCCAGCGGTTAGTATGCCAGCTACAATAGTTCACCATCTAGCCCTGCGAGTAATCAGTAATTAACCAAGCTTCTAGAATCACATAGTTCACTTCATCCTTAAAGACATGGTCAAATAAATAAATACAACTTCTAACTGTGTGTCACTGCATTAATTGTTTAATCTCTTAATATCTGCCAAATATGTGAAAAAACATGTTAGCAAAAAACTTTGCTATCCAAGCAAACGGTCAAGTGAGGGTTTTATATGATAAGAAAAGAAAAACAGACAAATCTTTAGCATGTAACAAGAGACAGTAAGAGCAGTAAATGCAGCGACATATAGGATATAGCTATTTTTCATTTTATTGGGACTTTAACGAGCCGCTACCTAAATGTATTCTTTACCTCAAAGCCCCCTGATGTCTGACTCCTCTATCAGCTTGCAATACACCGCTCACTCACCCTGGTATCGAACAGTCTTGCGTGGTGTTGGGTTCCAGTTGAGACCCAGCGACTTCTCCCATCCAACCAGAAACACCAGGAGCAAGACCTTCGTCCCGCCCATAGCTCCCATATCAGCTCCCATTCGGTGGAACTGGCGTTGTGTGATGGATCGGGGGATAAATCAGTCGATGAGAGGGACTGGAGAGCGGCCCAGCTCCGGGCAGCCTGCCGGGAGAAAAAACAAGAACAACACATCAGCAGGAAGCAGCAATTCACTTCTTTTATTGGCTTGGTTGTTTATCAGAAACTATTTTGTCAGAACAACTTGCACGTTTTTCAAAAAGCCACACAGAAAATACGGTTCACACATTCAAGCTGCACTGAAAGATAAATTTGTCCCTTTGAAAACATGTACTATAAAATTTCACATGGCCATCAAAATCCACAATAACGTAAAACAGAAATGAGTTATGCAAATCATTAAAGCCAATAAGGACATAGCTGCAATCAGTGTATGTGCCTCTCTGTGTGTGTGTGTATGTGTGTGTGTGTGTGTGTGTGTCTGTGTGTGTGTGTGTGTCTGCCAACAAAAACAAACAAAACATTTTAATGACTTTTGGCCGGGGGTTATGCAGGAAAGTTTTCTCTGGCCCTCCCTCACTCTGAGCGATAATCCAGCTATCGGCGCTCAAAAAGCTCAGAAATAGCTTATCGCCGCGCTCTTGTCAAGCCAATTCAGCAGCAGTATATTAAACTGGGGCTGAGTTATCAAAGTTAATTGGCGCTGGCAATGCATCAAACGCCAACGTGTTGGGAAATGAATGTCGAGGCAAGGACAATCCAATAGCGCTGTGTTGTAAATGAATTGGTTTATACCTAATGAACATGTCAAGTGTGCGGCTACAGAGAGGCAATAGAGTCCAATGACAGCACAGGATGATTGACTTGTTACGGTGCTGCAGGTGAGACTGATGCGCAGGGCGAGAAGAGGAATTGCATGTTAAAATAGTACTAACACGCATATAATGACACACAATCAAGTTTTTTTTTGTTATATGCTTGTGAGGACATGGCAACCCTTAAACTTTTAATGTATGTCACATTATCATTTTGTATGACCTCAGGGACATCAATTAGTGGCATTATGTGTTAATTCAAGATGAAACATGTCACTTGTCAAATCAACCATGAACAGCCTGAGATAGAGTAATTTATTTTCATTAGCAGTAAAAATAGTTTTTAATTAAGTCGGACTGGTGCCATCCGTAGATATGCTGCATCCACCTGTGCTGACAAACATCCTCGATCAATGATGACAAGTAGGAGATTAAGAAAAAAACTCTAGAATTATTCTTCAGTGACTGCTCGTGAACGGTCATATTTATAAAACAATCTATACTGATTTATTGGGGGCTGAAATTACACAAAAAAAAAGTCTCCCTTTTCTCATTGGAATTTATTTGTGTTGCTCACAACAGTGAAATGCAACACCAACATCCAGATCCTGTCCCTGTTAAAGGCTTCAGTTTGCTTCAAACAAACTAGGTTTTACAACGTGTCATTTAAGGACAAAGTGTTTGTGCCTATTCTAAATTACCAAAGGTAATGTGTTAACCTCCTCCTGGCTGCACTCCTGATCCCCCTGTGTCTTTTGCATGTCTTTGTAGTCTCCCAACGCAATCAAAAGTACAAATACAGAGCGCAATCTCCCCTCAAAGGCATTCATGGTGTTGCACTTGAAAAAGACACCATACGATTGTGCCATTGCAAATTGGGCTTCAAAAACTGTTCCATTATCTGAAAAGCACTTTGTTTGAAGCATATTAAACATATGCGTCACATATGAGCTTTTTTTCTTGGTAGAAAGTAGTTCTAATCTAATAGTACCTGCATGGGACACTGTGGGCAAAATAATGACACACATGTAACACAAGTTACATTTAAATGCCATTTTAAAATGCTGCGAGCACAAGAACATTCAGTTTGCTTGTTTTATTCAAATGGCAGCAGAAATCTCAGATATATGTATATGTCAAAACCTCAGTGCTCAAATTATCTGCATGACTATATAGCACTGGGAGTGGTGAAATTAAGTATTTTTTCTAAAAGTGGGTTTAATTTAAATGTAAAGGTGACCTATAGTAAGCCCACTGCGTCTCCAACTCACGGATCACAATCTAATAGTCTAATTACTCTGACTATAATACTAAACCAATTACTGAACTTTAACCTAACCACTGCAGAAATAAAGCATGATGGATCGTTCTTAATGTTTGCATTCTATTGAGGACCAAATATCCTCATAATAATTGAAAAACTGAGTTACACGAACACACACACACACACAGGCAGAAATGCACACACACCATCGCTAAAATTTCCCCTCTGCACCTGCTGCTGCGTATCAGCGAGTGAAATGACGCCTTCGATGATGCACGTTCATTGGAGATGAGAATACATTGACTTTTAAACAGACACAAAATGTCAAACTGTATATACCTTAACCCAGAACAAAGACAGAGAATACCTCTGTACTTGTAGCACATTTTATGTCTCCGACTCCCTGTCCCTCACCTATTCCCACCAGTGAATACTGAATTCCAGTGCTGGCAAAAAAACCCCCAAAAAAACCCCAAAAACTTGGCCTATTTGGTGGATTGGCAGGATAGGTATTTGGAGATGTGTGTGTGTGTGTGTGTGTTTGTGTGCCAATGTCCAACCAATGTGACTGTTATTGATTCGACTTTTGATAGGAAAATAAGAAGATGCTGAACGAAGAAGAAAAACAACACCTCCCAGACTCCCTCCAACCCCAGATCAGATCATAGCGACGTGCGGTTAAGAGAGCGTGCTTAAATGCTTGGTTTGGGTGAAAGCACTTCAAGCCTTGCAGTGCCGACTACCGGCTTTATTGGATCGATGCTGGAGGCCTCGCCGGCCAACGCTTGAGTGAGCTGAGATTGAGATTGAGATTGAAAGGTGGGAAGGGAGGGACTGAGGAACGGAGAAAGGGATGAAGGGTTGAAAGAATGACAGAATTGGAGGGGAGAGTTACAGAGAAAGAAAATAACAAAAACACGTTGAAGGAGGCTTACAGGCTTACTTTTTTATCCCTTTCATCTCTGTACTGAGAGGTAACCAAGTGAAGTGGGCATCCTGTAGGCCGGATTAAGAGAAGAGGCAGCATGTAAACACTACAGAGGAAGATGAGGAGGAAGAGGATAGCGGGGACAACAGAGAAACAAGACGTCTGTCTGAGAAAACGTTTAAAATCTTCAATGCAAACATCGCTATCATTTCCTCCTCCTCTGCTTTCTGTCTCTCTCTGCTTTTCTTTAATTCCGTCTCCCTCTCTTTCCTTTTCTCTGCAAGTCGTACAGCTCAAGTGTTTGTCACTATCAATATTTGCCAAAGCGTTAAACTAAATTTTCAAATTCAGGAAATAATGGTTTATAAAATCCTTGTGAAATATCATTAATATAGGACTACTTTAAAATATTGTCTGTCGAGGATGTCCCCTTTTCAACTCGTGCATGCCGAGGAAACCCTCTTTGACCAAAACAGCAAAAAGTGGATTTAAAGAAAGGTCATCGTGGCCTACTTATCTGTAGACTCGTTGACGTGTCTACTTGAACTGTAGAGCCAGTTACAGCATGGGGTTAACAGGAGAGCCTTCATAGATACCTTCGGTGCAGCTTTCAGCATCAGGCCGTATTGCACAAGGATCACTTTAAAATAAATCTTCAGAATTCTTTAAGGTAATTGATTTGATTTTATGGATTGCAGTCGGAATGTGATTTCAAAAAATATAACAAAATAGTTTCTAAAATATACATTATTTGTAACCCTAGCTGTAACTCAGGTTACATTATTGGACTGGAGAAATAGTAGATAATGAATAAAGAACAGCTCAATGCCAGTGGCGTACAACAACATCATTTTACATAATAAATGTTGACTGAAATGTATCCGTTGTATTTAACAAAAACAACTCATACCCACGGGCAGTGTGGTCCATAAGCAGATTATTTACTATCCTTTACTTTAAAGTAAAAGTAGCAATAATACATTAAATGAATAAAGTACTTGGTTTCAAGTAAAAGTCATGCATTTCAAAATTGTACTTGAGTAGAACTGTACAAACCATTTAAAAACCAACAAAGAAATATTCTCCAGTTGAGTGGGATTCATTTAGCTGCTTTAATAGCATGTAGCAGAGGCATTCCACACAGTGCCAATACAGGAAATTGAGCCATTCAACACAGAGCAATAACTCAGTCAACTAAGAACAAATGATTGCCGAATTGTTTTCCATTGAGTGTTGTTGACTACTTCTCTTCACTTGTCACCGGTGTGCTGCTAAAATTGCACGATGAATCTGCAAGCCACACCCACGGGGAACTTTATAAACGCCAAGGGGAGACGGCTAAATTCGGCCTATGATGTATTCTTCTTTTTCTTTCTATCAAACTGACTTATGATCCCTCGTGTCATAAGAAGCGGGATTCAGCCTCGCTCTCCCCTGACGGCCATATGAACACACTTGCTCGGTCTCTCACCGCCGTCTCTTTAAGGTCCTGTGGTGACACATAACTCTGCAGGTGGTATCAAATCATCTTTTAGCTGCTGGTGTTGTTGTTGAGCCTGGTTTAGCTAATGAGCTGAGACACGGCAGCCTAATAATATCAGTCAGCACTCCACAATGGAGAGCTCATTAAAACCTAGAGAGAAATAGGCCACATGTTCTGATTAGCTTGCCGAGCTCCTGTGTGTGTGTTTTGGCTGTGCTTGTGGATTTGTGTCATTGTATGCGCACATGTGTGGGTGTCTTTTTCTCTCTGCCTGAATCTGTGCATGAGTTTTCGGTGCGTGTGTTTCTTATCAGAGTGCATTGGGAGGTAAGATGAGTCCCTGTAGGGAGAAGCAAACCAGGGTCGTTTCTTCGAAATGAGCGAATGTCGGAGGAGAAAAAGGAAGACAAGAACGTTTTCAAGCCCCATCCCTCTGTCCTGTTTCATGTTGTCCTCTTTCTGCCCTTCATGTTCCCCACCCCTCCTTTCCTGACAGCCTTTTCCTGCTCTTCCTTACATATTACCACACACACACACACACACACACACACACACACACACACACACACA